TCTCATCCACCATTGTATGATCACCTCGTACATTCTCCATAGGACATCCCCTGTACCCTTAGTGCCTGACTTACCCATATTGTTAAAAACCAAACCTCTCTTGACCCTGCTATCACTATCGATGTTTGACACTAACTTCCCCGTCTTCTTGAAAGGAGAGGCTCTAATAGCATCAACATACTTCATTATCATGCTGCTATCCTCTAATTCCTCCACACTATCACATTGTTTGAAACTATGACAACATCTACCACATATGTAACAAAAGGTGGGTAAGGATTCATATTTGAGAGGGATCTAGAATGGTTTCCTTCCTATACTTATATTTATGCCACACAAAAAAGGATTTTTGAGATCCATATCAACTCTAAATCGTATGTATTTACCCAACCAACTTCATTATCAGCAAATCATTCCAGGAAACTGCCCATTTTTGCACTGATTAATCGGGCCACTGATTCCTTCATGCAACTCAAGGGAAGATCATAAGCCCGGACCCAGATAGGACAAGAGTGAAACTGTATGGAAGATGGTTGTTCATTCCCAGTAACTCGGCCAAGAAGCAATAAATTCTTATAAGGTGCCATGGTTGATTATCTAAAACAAATTTAATATCTTTCCAATGGTGAAATTGGAACATGAATACATCTTTGCCCCATTCACAAATCATAATTCCATGCCTCGGTTTCCAAACCTTAGTCATCGTGTCCATGAAGACGAATTTGTTCAAAGGTTTCACATTCCATAGTTTACTTGCGACACATAGTTGAGGTCGCCTTTCAGGACTCTTAGAAACTTCATCCAAAACTTCTATTACCTCTGCTTCCACCACAATTAGAGTGGTACCAGTTTGATCAGTCATTGCTCTCTCTTGACTCCACAACAGATTTGCGAAAGCTAGATAATGAAAACAAAAGTGCAATTAAACCAAAACCTGACGCAGAAATATATTAGAAAAAAGAAACAAAGAAACAAAAGGAGAGAGGAGACATGGACATGAAGACAAAAAAACAACACTCAATATATGAGGGACTATAGCCGTCAAAAGACTAAACCCTATGTCTCACCGTGAAGAAAACGTGAGCTCTCACAAAAGACCTCTGAGATTTTAATTTTTTAAAATATTTTTTTAAATAAATTTATAAGACTTTGAAATTTTTAAATTTAATCTCATTTATATCTATCTATCTATCTGTAAACTTGAGAAATGATCTTCCATCACTAATATTGTTATTTGCACATTGATCCTATATGGAGCTGAGAATTTTAAACAATTTATTTTTGGAATTTGTTTTAAACACATGGAAAATCCAAAATATTACATACTATTAATAAAATTACATCTTAACTTCATTTGACAAAAGTAATTGATGTAAAGATCAGTTTTATATTTTATATTTTGGTTACATAAAGCAAGTTTTGATTTATTAGACTAATGTCAAGCGTTGCCATATTATAAAACATTTTGTAGTATGGTAAACCCAAAATTTTAGTTATTTTATATAATTAATCTATAACAAAATTATTTTTTTTATTAACAGAGAAGTAAAAATATTATTTTCTTTTCGATTAGATGTTACATCTTTAAAAAAAATATTCATTATATTTATTTTAATCTAAATAAGAATTTATACTTTTAATATTATATAAATAAACAGAGAGTAAAAAATATTATTTCTCTTTTCGATTAGATGTTTACATCTTTAAAAAAATAATTCCTTATATTCTATTTTAATTTAATAACGATTTATAACTTTTTAATATTATATAAATAAAAAATTAATAAGCATATAACGAACCAAACAACGTGCAATTCATCATATATTAAACAAATTTAAAACAGTTATTAAATCAGCTTATTAACTATTAAAAATATAGCTTAGCTACCGAAAAAAAAAAAAAAAAAAAAAAAAAAAAAAAAAAAAAAACTCCATAACTAATAAAAATAGTATTTTGACCTAGTCAAAATATTAAAATTTATCTTAAAAGTTATATTGAAAATTACTAGAATAGTTAATTTTATTGATCAAAAATTCAAGATGTGTAATGAAATATTTAACTCACTTATTCGTTGGTTATAGATAATTAATTATCATATTTTTTTAGATTAATTTTATTTCAAAATTCCCAATTAGCCTCCCTGTAAGTAAGTATTTTTACAGTAATCGAACTTATACTACTATAAAAATACTCATTAACTCAATTTTGTTACATTTACCATTTTAAGTAATTCTTATGGATAAGTAATTACCACGGTTTTGTCTGTAGTTATTTGTTAGTTGCTTTTTAGGTAACCGCCAGTTATTCCCTCCACTAGTTCAAATACGTGCTAGAAAAAACTCCTCTAGTTCAAATAAGTTCAAAATTTTTTTTTTTTACTTGAAAAATATAATAAAAAAAAAACATATATTAAGAAATTGTGATATCATTCTTCTCTTTAATTTGACCTACCTATAGAGAGATATGCAAGCGTTGAGAAAAGAAGGAAAAAACAAATATTGTAGGACTTAGATTAGTTAGAGGTTGGACCTTTTAAATTTTGACATTTGTGTGGTTTAAATAATTTTTTTAATAAAGTATATGTGAATATTTTTATGTGTTTAGTTATTTTATTAAGTGGTATGTTTAATATATCTTAATTTCACGTATTAATTCTTTTCAAAAAAAAAAAAAAAAGAAAATTTTCAAAAAAAAAAAAAAAAAAGAAAAATTTCGACATAATAATTTTTTAATTATATTATATCGAAATTTTAAATTTCTGATTCTAATATCTATAACCAATTGCAAAATTGTTAAATAATTTGGAATATATGTATCTAATTTTTTTAACATTCTATTTACAATTTCTTTTTAAAATATCTAATTTTATTATACTAAACCTGCTTAAAAATTGATTAAGGAAGATTAATAAAAAAAAAAAAAAAAAGAAAATTTCACATAATAATTTTTAAATTATTTATATCGAAATTTATTTGAAATTCTAATATCTATAACAATTGCAAAATTGTTAATAATTTTGATATATGTATCTATTTTAAATCTATTTACAATTTCTTTTAAAATATCTATTTTATTAATACTCAAACCTGCTTAAAATTGATTAGGAAGATTAAATATGTTACCTACACGAGTGTTTTCCTTTTACACTCATTAAAAAGGCATAGAAATGAATTAAGTACCATGACTGAAATTAAATTTTAAATTAAAATATTGTATTTTTATTAAACAAATTTGAATATCTAGGAAGACTAGGATACCTAATACCCAGATTTGTTTATCTAAATGAATTAGCCTAATGGATATTCAAATCTTAAGGCCTGCTTGCATCTAAAATCTTTATAAATACTAAGGCTGTTCGACAATAACTGCTGTTCGACAATAACTTTTTGAGTAGCTTTTACGCTATTTTTTTTATAATATTAACATAAGATTTGAATTAACTTTTAGAAATTAAAATAAGATTTTATAAAAAAATTATTTTATATAACGTTTTACTTTTAGCGTTTCATGAAAAATTATTTGAATAGCTAACAGTTAACAACTATCACAATAGTTAATTTTGCCAAACAAACCCTAATACTTCCTATGCTTCAAAATATAAATCATTTTAGAGTATTATTTTGTCCTAAAATACAAGTCTGTTTTGAGTTTTTAAAGAATAATAAATGATATTTTTCCAATATTGCTCTTATTTATACAGGATACTTTAACTATGTTCACAAGTTAATTTTGATTTTGAGGTCAAATTACTCTTAATTTGTTACTCCTTTGTACCAAAAAGATAATCAATATTTTCTTTTTGGTTTGTCCTAACGTATAGTCCACTTTCCTATTTTGTATTTTTTTTCCTCTTTTGTATTATAGTTAATTCTTAAATTGTCTAATATACTCTTATTATACTTTATCTTATTTTCAATAACCCTTATTAATTCTTAATTGTTATTCCAATACACTGATATGTTATTTAAGATGAGTATAATAGAAAAGTTATATGAATAAAATTGTCTTTTAATCATATTTCTTAATCTATATGAGAATAGAAAATGGACTATTATTTTAGGACAAAAGAAGTATAATTTAAAATAATTAATTATTTTCTTAATTTTCGTTCAAAAATCTTAAACGGCATAGGATACTGACAGAGTAATAATTATACGATTAAAATAAAAAAATCAATAATTAATTAATTGGTATAGACATTAAGCATTGGATGTAAAACAAGTGTCAAAATTTTGTGGCCCACATGGCTTCTTCCGCGAAGGTAACCAAACCAATACTATGCTTCCTTTGATGTCAACGCTTTACTTTGGCCAACAACCGCTAACGCTCCGCGTCCTTGCATTTACATCTATGTCCTTTCAATTTACTTATTTCGCACCGATTAACCCAAACGTTTCTTTTATTTCAAAATTTTCCACTTGCACTTTATTTTTTAATCTTTTGGCCTAAGAAAAAGTCCATTTTTGCTGCTTTTAATGGTTTCTCTAGTCAAAAAGTATTAAAGGCATATTCAAATTCTCTCACTCAACCCATTCTCAAGTCTTTGTTGACTTGACTTCACACATCTAATGGATTAATAAATTCGATGTGCAATATAAATAAATACTTTCTCCCACTTATAATTTATCTTTTTATTTTTTCACCTTTGGTTCAAAATACTACCTTCTCTATCTCAAAATATAAGTCATTTTTTATTTATAAGTCGTTTTGTATATTTCAAGAAGTAATAAATGATTGTTAAGATACAATAATAAAATATATTAAAATAATAATAATATTAAACTCCTAAATAAACTCTAACTAATAAATAATATAAGATTTATAATCCTTATCTTGAAATAGTTATCCTGGGTCCAGTATATATAACCCAAATTTATTCAAGAGATGGGTTAGTTCACAATTTACTACACCTTAAATTCTGAGAGCTTAACAATTGATGCGGTAAATGTGGAACACACCTTCAAACTCTAAAAAATATCCATAGTGTTTTCTTAATTCCTATGGCTAACGATTCCACTGAGCACCTCCGCATGGAAGACCAGGACAACACCCACAACGTGGTCAACCAACAACCCACATTCGCCCCTCCATCAACCACGGATCCCCAAGTAGTAGCTCCTCTAGCTCAAGCTTATTCGCAATTTACTACTGTGCTGAAGCGCCTCTTGGAGAACCCTCCGCCTCGTGGCGAGCCAATACCACCCACCAGGCTGGCAAACCCTCCTCGCCAAGAACATAACCTCCTTTCAACTTCGCCTTAGTATCGAAGTCATTCAATATCCAATCGATACCATAAGGCAGAATCAGAGGTGGACCCTAGTGCAATTATCCCCAATAACCAAGAGCTCAATCACATCTTGCCAATCTTGGATGGAGCTAATCTCCGGAATGTTATCAAGGAACTAGTTTGGGAGTGTAGAGAGACAGGAGACGCAAGGGATTATGGTCTCCGACAAGACTCGCCCTTGCTTGCTGATATTTTTGCTGCGGCTTTTCCACCAAAATTCAAACTTTCCACTTTCCAATCATATGATGGATCTACCGATCCCCGAAGTCATCTGGCAATCTTCCGAATTATGATGTACCTTCAAACCAATTCGAAGGATCTAATATGTAAGGTCTTTTCAACTACCCTAAAAGGAGCAACCCCAGAGTGGTATCAGACTCTCAAAATAGGATCCATCCAATCGTTCTCCCAATTGGCTACCACATTCTGAGCTCTATTCATCATAAGCGTGTCATCCAGGAAAATCTCGTCTGATCTAATAGACCTAAAGAGAGAAGATGGCGAGACGTTGAGATAGTATATCTCTAGATTTCAAAGAACAGCGATGCAGACTGAGAACCTGAATGATGAAGTGACCATTAGTGCCATGGTGAAGAATTGCAAATATAACAAGTTATTCGAGAGTTTGAGTGTGGACCTTCCTCTAACTTTTGCTGCACTCATGGCACGGGCTCACAAATATACAAAGCCGAATGAAGCCTGTGAAGCTCAATATCGAAGATTGCATGAGGAAGAAAATCCCAGGCATAGAAGAGAATCTTCTTTGATCAAGAGACGTTCACCTAGGAGAAGATCGCCTCTCCGGCATCCACGAGCTAGCTACACTGTTAAAACATCCCACTCAAGAGAAGATAGATCACAACAAGACCAAGAGTTCACCCCCTTGAATAAGCGCATAAGGGCGAACTCACCAAATGGGAGGTGGAGCTAGAAAGATATCTGACCTTGGGTGCTGAAAAACCCCAGACATGAAACTCAGACAATCTGAAGAGGGCATATTGTATTTCTACCCAATAAGATGTAAAGTAACTTTATATTTAAATAATAAAGAGACCTCAGGTTTTTTCATTTAATGTATCATGCCTTGTAAGGGTAAGAAAGACATAATGCATTAAGTTTTTCCTGAAAGACCTTACTTAGAAACTTTTCAGTGTTCTTTTTAATTCTCCAATTCGGACATAAGCGGTCCTTTAACTAAGTTCATCAGTTCAGACATACTCGGTTCTCCAATTTAGATTTATGCGGTCCATAAACAAGTCCATCAGCTCGGACATACATGCTTCTCCTGTTCGGACCTTAGCGGTCCTTTAGCTAAGTCCATCAGTTGGGACATACATTGCTTGTCTAAATGACCTAATCGGTCGTCTCACTAAGCTTACTAGCTCGAACATACATAGCTCGATCAGATGACCTAAGCGATCCTTCTTAATAAGTCTACTAGCTCTAAGTCCACCAGCTCGAACATACATAGTTTGCCCATATGACCTACGCAGTACTTCTTACTAAGTCTACTATCGAACATATATAGTTCGCCCAGATGACCTAAGCAGTCCTTCTCACTAAGTCCATTAGCTCAGACATACATAGCTCGCCCATATGACCTAAGCAGTCCTTCTCACTAAGTCCATTAGCTCGGACATACAGAGCTCGCCCAGATGACCTAAACGGTCCTCCTCCATAAGTCCACTAGCTCGGACATACATATTTCGCCTATATGACCTAAGCAGTTCTTCTCACTAAGTCCATTAGATTAGACATATGTAGTTCGCCATCTAACCTTAGCTGTCTTCTAACCAAGTTCATCAGTTTGGACATAATTGTTCTCCAATTCCGACTTAAGCGGTCCATAACCAAGTCCATCAGTTCAAGCAAGTCTTTCTCACTTAAAGTTCCATTGCCTCGGACACGATTTGTAGATCACGGGCGTGTAGATGGTATATCAGAGCTCGCCTCTCACTAAGTCCATTAGCTCGGACATACAGAGCTCGCCCAGATGACCTAAACGGTCCTCCTCCATAAGTCCACTAGCTCGGACATACATATTTCGCCTATATGACCTAAGCAGTTCTTCTCACTAAGTCCATTAGATTAGACATATGTAGTTCGCCATCTAACCTTAGCTGTCTTCTAACCAAGTTCATCAGTTTGGACATAATTGTTCTCCAATTCCGACTTAAGCGGTCCATAACCAAGTCCATCAGTTCGGACATATATGGTTCTCCAGTTTGGACATAAGCGGTCCTTTAGCTAAGTCCATTAGCTTGGCATACATAGCTTGCTCAGACGACCTAAGCGGTTCTTCTCATTAAGTCCACTAGCTTGGGCATACATAGCTCGCCTCGATGACCTAAGCGGTCCTTCCCAATAAGTCCACTAGCTCTAAGTCCACAAGATGACCTAAACGGTCATTTTCATTAAGTCCATTAGATTGGACATGTGTAGTTTGCCATCTAAGCTAAGCTGTCTTCTAACCAAGTCCATCAGTTCGAACATACTCGATTCTCCAGTTTAGACTTAAGCCGTCCATAACCAAGTCCATCAGTTCAGACATACTCAATTCTCCAGTTTAGACTTAAGCAGTCTATAACCAAGTCCATGAATCCGGAAATACTCAATCCTCCAGTTTAGACTTAAGCAATCCTCTAGTTCAGCCCCAGTTCGGCTCGGACTTATGCAGTCCTCTAGTTCGGCGCGGACTTAAGCAGTCCTCTAGTTCGGCTTTGACTTAAGCAATCCTCCCGTTCCGCTTGGACTTAAACAGTCCTCCAGTTCGGCCCTACTTCAGCTCAAATTTAAGCAATCTTTTAGTTCGGCTTAGACTTAAGCAATCCTTCAATTTGGCTTAGACTTAAGCAGTCCTCCAGTTCGGCTTAGACTTAAGCGGTCCTCCAGTTCGGCTTGGACTTAAGCAGCCCTCCAGTTCGGCTCAGACTTAAGTAGTTCTCTGGTTCGGCTCGGACTTAAGCAGTCCTTCGGTTAGGCTCTAGTTCGGCTCTAACTTAAGCAGTCCTCCAATTGGCCTGGACTTAAGCAATCCTCCAATTTGGCTCAGACTTAAGCAGTCCTCCAATTCGGCAGTTCGACTCAAACTTAAGCATCCAGTTTGGCTTTGACTTAAGCAATCCTTCAGTTAAAACGCTCCTCTTAGCCCATAAAATTTCAGCTTAAAGCAACTTAAACAAGTTCACACTTAATAAAAACGCTCCGCTTAGGCCATAAGGAGAACCTCGCTTTGACAATTTACATACACCACTCCTAGTGGAAAACACTTTATCAAAAACACTTAGAAATTGAAATTATGCCAACATTCAAAATCATACAAAAAGGATAAATAAAGGGTAATTGATAAGAAGTGACTCTTGAGGTTCTCTTTAGGCAAACGAACCATCACCTTGTTTCTCCCAAACAAAACCACCGCTGAATTGACAAGAACAGGCAAGGAACTTCATGCTAAAAAAATATCTATAATAATTAGTAATTAGAGTATAAAAAATAAAGTATACACATAATATAAATATAAACGATAAAATACACAAATACTACATTTGGATATAAAATGATCAAATAACTAGTGGGGACTACTGTTAACATACAATAATAAAATATATTAAAATAATAATACTAGACTCCTAAAATAACTCTAACTAACAAATAATATAGGATTCGTAATCCTTATCTTGACACAATTATCCTGGGTCCAGTATATATATCCTAAATTTACTTAAGAGACGGGTTAATTCACAATTTACTACACCTTAAATTTTGAAAGCTTAACTATGATGTTTTTTCAATGTTGCCCTTGTTTACACTAAATACAATAAATATTTCACAAGCAACTATTGGTTTCGAGATAAAGGATAATGTGGTCAAATTACCCTTCATTTTGTTATAATCTAGGAGAATTAATTGCTTCCTTAATCCTTGTACAAAAACATTAAACGACTTATATTTTGGGACAGATGGAATAGTTTTATTTGCCAAAATTAGTTGTTTCAGCAGTTATTAGCTATTTAAGTAATGTTTAGCAGTTAGCTGTTCGGGTAGTTTTTTATGAAATGCTAAAAGCTAAACGTTACATGAGTTAACTTTTTTATACAACACTATTTTAACCTTTAGAAGCTAGTTTAAACGCTTTACAAAACACTATAAAAAATAGCGTTTACTTAAAAAGTTATTACCGAACACATCCTCTACCGAACATTAGACTGATTACCATGGTGTGGAACATTAGACCGATTAATATGGTGTGGAACATTAGACCAAATTTTAAGCTTAGCACAATTAACATCTTCTTTAGCTAATACATGAGCAGCAATATTGTCTTGTCTTTTAATCCAAAGAACATCTTGAGTATTTGATGTAGACTCATATTTTGAGATTTTTTACTCCATACATAAATAATAAGACCAACCAGACCATACCTAATTGGCACTTTACCTTTATTTAATATATTTTTCTCTCAATAAATATATTAATCACACTGCTACATTATAATTATTAAAGCTTTAATATTAACAAAATTAAAATATCAATATTTAATCCTCCACTTATATAATAGCCAATTGCCTTAAATATTGAATAAATAGTTATAGTTTGATTATTTTAAATCGTAATTTAATATCAATCATTTAATTTTTGTGAAATACTAATATAAAGGTACGGTAGGAAAAAAAAAGTAAAAATTATAATTTAGCGATACTATTACATTTTATCACTCGATGTACAAATCAAATTAGGATAAAAATTACGGAATGGTGGGAGTAAAAAAAAATATATATATTATCAACTTTAGTTTCTAATAATCTTTCTAGAAAAAAAAAAAAAAAAAAAAAAAATATCTTTCTTAGAAAAAAAAAAAAAAAAAAAAAAAAAAAAACTCGAGAATTCAATCATGATTAGTATTTACTGTACCTAGGAAATGATTCAAACGGAAAAAGAACAAAAAGGATCCCTCTTCTATTGCAATGAAAATTAAACATCCACATAAACTATTATCATTGCATCACTTACATGTCCATTGAAGACTATATTATTATATTTGCAAAAGTAATATATATACCAATAATATTTGCAATCAAAATAGAAATAAAAGAAATTAAATTAAACCATTAATATTATTTAAAGTTGCCAAATTGTATCAAATGAAAATCTTAGATAGTAAAAAAAAATTTAAAGTAATATATAAATGAGTCCCAACCTACTATTAATAGCGAAAGCAAAAAATTATTATACGAAACTAAACAAACTCTTGATAGCCAGAATAAATAAAATTGGTGATTTTTTTCACACAAAATGTGCGTGCGTGTGTATATATATATATATATAGTTTTGATTCATATTTAATATTGGAAAAAAATTTTCAATTAGGATTTTCTTAATTAAAATTGAACAAACTTCCTAATTAAGATCCTTCTAAAAACAATCCTAATTAGGATTTAACAACTTTTTAACCAAACCTTATTAATATTTATTAGTATTTTATTTTATCAAATGTTTTTCAAGCCCGCACTTTACGCATGCTGTTCTATTATTATAAATTATACTTCATAGTTTATTGTAAATTTTATCTTATAAAATTTTTCATGAGATTTATTATATCGCACTTCCTTAATAATATAAAGACCTAATTCAATAACTAATATTAAGAAAGTAAAACAACTGCATCTAATTGGGTTTGCTAAATAATAATAATAATTATTATTATTATATGAATTAAAATAACTATAGATAATTATAATTTACATATATGTTTGTGTTTGTGAAGCAATGAATACAAAAATTAATATTTTCTATGATTTACTAAATATATAATAAATTTTAAAAAAAATACACAAATAGATTTATTGTTGTTGTTTTCATCTCCATAACTATATTTTTCATACATACACTTAAGCAGATATGACACACACAAGACACATCCGATTAAAGAGAAGAGAAGTCGCTAGACAAACAAAAAAAAAAAGATCAAAAAATTGCAAAAAGAGATAAAAATTTTGAAAAAGGAAAAAAAAAATAAAAGAGTTAACATTACATCTATAGAGTAGACAGTAATATGACAGTAATATATATATATATATATATATATATATATTATATTTATATAGAGAGAGAGAGAGAGAGAGAGAGAGACAGAGAGAGTTACAGATAAAAAACAATTCAAAAATTTTAAATTTTTAATTTTAAAATTTAAAAGTTTTAAAGTATTAATTATTTAAAGTTTTAGATATAGTTGTATATTATATTAGATATAAAAAAGGAAACGTTTAAAAAATTAAAAATTCATATATATAAAAAAGAAATGCTCGAGAAAAGAATGACAAGTAAGCATTTTTTGAAGATTTTTTTGTATATATATATATATATATTAATAGATTTACAATGTAAATAATTTGAAATTTAAAATTTACAAATAAAACAAATATAATCTATTTAAAAATTACACATTGAAGCTTAATTAATTACATAAAAATACATAGTTTAAATTTATATTGTGATAAAATTGCTATTTTTTTTAAGACTTTGGAGGTATCTTATTGATTTTTTAGCATGCACGACTATTTTTTTTTTTTTTTTTTTTTTTTTTTTGTAAAGCTGCTAGGATATAATTATATTTAGTATGAGGATCAACCAGTTATCTCCTCAACTTTTTTTTTTTTTTTTTTTTTTTTTGTAGCTGTAGGATATAATTATATTTAGTATGAGGATGCAACCAGTTATCTCCTCAACTAACATTAATTATTTTTTTTAATTTTTAAAAACAAAAGAAAATTGTAGGCAGTAATGGGGAATTACACATTATGGATTGGTGGTGGGGCATAAATGCAAAATCCCAAAAACACAAGGGTCCCAGGAACAATTAGCAAAAACTTTTCTGCAAACATTATTAAAAAATGATTAAAAAATAAATTTCATTTTTTTAAGAAAAAAAATTACGTAAATAGGACCCACCTCTCCGACCTTACATGGCACCAAACACCCGCGTTTTCATCTCCACAGAGACAAAACGGACACATACATATACATAAGTGAAAACGAAAGACTTTTACTCAGACCAAACCTCTCTCTTTCTCTTTCTCTCTCAGAACGGCACTCTCTTCCTCTGTCGTCGAGAGAGTTCTTCTCCATTTCTCTAATTCTCTAATGGCTGCTGCTGCTTCTTCGTTTTCTTGTTCTTTCTTTTGTTTGTTGTTGTTAATCTTATCAAATATATGTTACGGATTCAGCACATACGGGTTTCCTATACATCACCGGTATTCGGATCCAATAAAGGGGATTTTAGCGGTCGATGACTTGCCGGAAAAAGGTAGTCCCCACTATTATGCTTCTTTGACTCACCGGGACAGATTAATCCATGGCCGAAAACTGGCCGCTTCTGATAATTCCACGCCTCTTACTTTCTTTTCTGGGAATGAAACTTATCGGATCAGTTCTCTTGGATTGTAAGTCTTTTTTTTTTTTTCTTTGGTTATATGGAATAATCTTGTTTAGTTGCTGAGTAAATGGAGGAAACTGAAAGAAAAATTTAAGTAACTAAACTTATCACCTCAAAAGAAAAAAAAGAAAAAGAAAGTAATCATTTAGTTACTGAAAATAGTAAAGTCGTGTTTGGAAACAGGTCTTAGCCTGCATTTTTCCTTTTGTTTGGAAGCAATTGTAAACTCTCGACTTTCTACGCAATCAAACATGGGATAAAGATGATTTCTTTCCTTTTGTTTTTAAATTAATGTTTTTTTTTTTTTAATGTTTTGTTCAATTTTATAATTCTTTGTTTTGTTTTTTTTTTTTTGCAGTTTACATTATGCAAATGTTTCAGTTGGGACACCAAGTTTATCATTTCTTGTAGCACTAGATACTGGTAGTGATCTTTTCTGGTTACCATGTGATTGTAAAAGTTGTGTCCATGGCTTGCGATCTTCATCTGGAGAGGTATTCCTTTCTATTTTTGCTAATTTCTTCTCTCTCTCTTTTTTTTTTCCTTTGACTTTTCATATTTAGTAATTTGTGTTAGTTGTTCGCCGGATTTTCCATTTTTGGTAATTTCTGTTAAAATCTGTTTCTTGGATTTTTCTCTTCGCTAGGTTCTTGAAGTCATGATTTCACAATCTTCAATAGTTTTTTTGATATATATATATATTTTTTTAAACCAGGAGCTAGAGCTTAGTATTTACAGTCCTAATAATTCATCAACGAGCGAAAATGTCCCCTGCAACAGCTCCTTGTGTTCAGCGCAAAGTCGATGCGCCTCCTCTCAAAGTACTTGTCCTTATCAGGTTTTATACCTTTCTAATGGCACTTCATCAACTGGGTTTTTGGTAGAGGATGTATTACATTTAACTACAGACGATGCTCAATCAAAAGCTCTTGATCCAAAGATTAAATTTGGGTAGGTAATTTCTATTGTTTCAGAGCTCGCTACGAGGTTCAGTTTATGACAAGCACCGCTTTAGATGTTGGAAAAAGCAGTTTCGAACAGTTATTTAGCTCTTTTGAAGCGTGGATGATTGGACCATGTGAAATTCACCCTAAAAACAAGCTTTGAATGACCTCTAATTAACATTTCTAATGCAGTGTTGTTTTCAATAATAAACAGAAATGCTAAACCGATTCCGTGTATTTTTAGGAACGGCATGATTCGGGGCTGCCTAGGCTTTCATCTTGAATACCTTGATTGTGAATATGATAGGGAATTGTGTGCTCTTGAACTAATGTTAAAAGGGTTTTCAATTGTGAGATTTTCAATGCTTGAAGTAGATCAAATCATGTATCAAAGGCTTCAAGAAAATTATGTTATAATTTATTGCATTATCCCTCACATGTGTGTAGAAAAAAGCATTTATTGTTTGTGTTTACTTCATTAGTATCCTTGTACTGATATCTATTGAACAAACTTTTATTTCTTTAAGGCATTTGTGATTGAAATGTCTTACTTTTATTTTTTGCAGTTGTGGTCAAATACAAACTGGTTCATTTTTGGATGGTGCAGCTCCCAATGGCTTATTTGGGCTTGGTATGAGTAATATCTCTGTTCCTAGTACTTTAGCAAGAGAAGGGTATACTTCAAATTCATTTTCCATGTGTTTTGGACCTGATGGAATGGGGAGAATCAGTTTTGGAGATACAGGGAGCTCTGACCAAGGAGAAACTCCTTTCAACCTAAAGGAGCCACAGTAAGTGCTCAATTCTTGAATTTTCATCTACACACACTATTCTTTTATCCGAATACCATGATCGGTATACTTATTGTTCCATGCAAACTCTTGTTTACCAGCCCAACTTACAATATTAGCATCACAAAAATAAATGTGGATGGAAATGATACTAATCTCGAGTTTGCTGCAATTTTCGATTCCGGTACCTCTTTCACATACCTCAATGATCCAGCCTATTCAGTTATATCAGAGAGCGTAAGTATATGCAGTAATATGATTTGGTATTTACTAAAGTTCATGTTCCATCATTTGGTTAGTTACGGTTTATATTATATTTTCAGTTCAATAACAAGGCAAAAGACAGACGCTATACATCTGGTTCTGGTTCTGGATTACCTTTTGAATACTGTTATGAGATAGGGTGAGTTAAATCACCGCAAAGTCCCCCTTCTTCTTTTTGCATCATTGCATCTTTTACAATACTTAAACATTGACTTTCACGATGAACACAGCTCAAATCAAACGGATCTAGAGATTCCAACGGTGAATCTGGAGATGAAAGGTGGTAGCCAATTTAATGTCACTGACCCAATCGTGGTAGTTAATCTTGGGGTAATGTATCGTTATTATTGTTCTAATATGTTATTAATGCTTCTTGGATTACAACTAATTTTCTCTTTACTTTCTTTTCCTCTTTTCAATCTACAGGGGAATGCTTACATATATTGTCTAGGTCTTGTCAAAAGTGGAGATGTAAATATCATCGGACGTGAGTATCTGGTTATGACAGTAGTTACTTCTTAACATTTGCAGCAAACTGCATGATCTATGCAGAATAAAATTTATCCTATTTATTTCTTGAGAATTTTATATTTAAGAAAAAGCGAGAAAAATAACCCACTTCCCCTAATATTTTGGAACTGTAAGTTATAGGAGATTGTATGAATGAATGAAGATATTGACATGGAAGGACCTTAGAGTCTATAAAACTGTTAAGGTTTACCACCGGCTCTGTCTCAATTTCTGATGCTATATTTTTGGAGAAAGCTTAGAAATGACACGGTTTTGAATTAATTAGACATTTCCCTGATATGGAATATAATGCTCTACGTTCTTGAACTTTAATGAGTTGCTACTACTTTCTTTCAATGCAGAAAATTTCATGACGGGTTATCTTATTGTTTTCAATCGTGAAAGGAACGTGTTGGGTTGGAAGCCATCAAACTGTGAGTACACCATATTCACTTTAAGTTGTTTTTAACTTAAAACACGTATCTATTTCCACTGAGACTTAATTTTTGGTATAATGTCACTGGTTTTGCAGGTTATGATGCTTTGAACACCAACACCTTCCCTATCAACCCATTAAGTCCTGCAGTGCCACCTGCTACTGCAGTCAATCCAGAAGCCACATCAGGAACCGGCAATACTACTAATATATCAGGAGCGACTTCACCTCCGGCAAATCATTCACCTCGGTTGAAACGTTTTACTTTCACAATTATAATGGTTCTTATTCCATTCTTTATCATTGTTTGATTCATCCTTTTGTTATCTTCTTGTTTTCAATGCTTTTTCCATATCTATGTAGTATATATATATACACACAAAGAGGCATTTCTTCCAGGTATAGTTACACGGACGAATCGGAAGCATTGATGGCTTCCTATTTAATTTTTGGTATTGATTAATCTGATTTGATCCTGCAGTTGTAAATATGTTTAGAACATAAGCAGATACAATTGATGTTGTAGTGCTAAATTTTGGTTATCTATTCTTGGAGTTGATATTTCTTTTTGTAGTTTGACTATTATACTTTGTATTAATCTAGTTTAAGACAGCTTTCATTTTTATTAATGCGCCATTTTGTTGTGTTTGATAATATTCTTTAATTCTCCCTTTAAAAAAAAAAAAAAATTCTTTCATTCCATTTGAAAGCTTATTAGCTAGCTGTCTATTCCAAACACCCTTAGTTGTATTTTTTTTTTTTTTTTTTTTTTCTCCCTTTAAAAATAAAAAAAAATCTTTTCATTTCCATTTTGAAAGCTTATTAGCTAGCTGTCTATTCCCAAACACCCTTAGTTGTATTATTTTTTTTTTTTTTTTTTTGCCCTTTTTTAAATTGTGCTTTATCACAGGACAATTACTGATATTACATAATTCAATCATATTAAATTAATTACCTTTAAATGAAGAAATTGCCATGCCTAAAATAAATTAGTAAAAAGGGAAGTAAATAATCTTTATTGCCAAAAACTATTCACTGAAGAAGAGAGTTATTTTTTCAGTCTACAACATGGCGATTTTTTTTCTTTTTTTTTTGGACTTTTTTGCGGTTGATTTCTTTTTTTTTTTCTTTTCCAAAAGGGCTTTTGTTAAGAGGGGAAGGTTATAAAAAAAGAAATTTTTTTTGAGGGGGGTTTTTTTTTTTTTTTTTGGACCTTTTGCGTTGATCTCTTCAGCTGTAGAGTATAAAGATTTGAGGCCTTTTTAGTAAGTGTATTTCATGGGAATCAATCTTCTATTGTCATCTCTATGAAAGTTAGTTTACATTCGTGAGAAATTCATTTTTATGTAAAAGGAAAATCCTTAATAAATTAGAAAATAAATAATAGTAATAATAATAATAAATTAGAAGTTCCACCTCTTGCTTTAGAAAAAAAGATTAGATCTGGTGGACCTAAAAGAAAAATTGAGTCTATTATGAGCCCTATGTGCTCTTTTTCTGTACTTCTGAAATACAGATTCATTTCGTAGAAAAAGCAAAATATGGAACAGTTTAAGCTGGTCTAGTTATTATGGAATCAATTCCTTCTCAAATTTTTTTTTTTTTTGAAACCACCAATGTCTGAACCTTATTATCAAGTACCTTCCGATCCGATTTTGGGCTTAGTTATAGTTAAATATTCTTCTCCCCTTCCTGCAAATGTGTTTAGTGGAAATCGAATCCGAGAACTCTTTCCACATATTCAATCTGCGTTGCCAACTAAATTACAACGCGTAAGTCGATTTCAAAAGATTTTAATACATTAAAATTCATTCCATTTCTTTCTGAGTTTTTTTTTTTTTTTTCGAAAAATTTTCAAATTTAATATTTAGTTGCTTTATTTATCTAAATGGAGGACAATTAGTTATTGAAAAAAAAAAGAAAAATCTTAAATCCAACTGCATAGACACAATCTAACAAAATAAGGATTCCCCCGTGAGCCAATGTTATGATTCAAAATCAGCGATGACCATGGATCGGATTCAGATCGGATTATGCAAAATCCATATCCGATCCACGAAGACATTCATATATTTAAAAGAAAAATAAAAATAAAATAAATAAAAATTTATATTATTTATTGTGTTTGAAAATACAATAATAATTTATTTTACATCAAATAATAAATCTTATAACATATTTCTTATTATTAAATAAATAATAATAATGTTCAAATCCTGGCAGCATAAAAATAATCAATTTTGTAGGTTCAAATCATGGCAGCATAACCAAGAGTGCAAGTTCCATGGAAAGAGTAAAGAAGGAATAAATAAATTTGATAACCTCTTTAACTTAATTACTTTAATATTACGACACTTTCAATTTTACTTTAATCCATCAAATACTTTAATTTATAAAATTACACCTGTTAAACACTTTAATTTTCAAATTTACTTTATTAAACGTTTCAACTTGAAAATTTAGATCAATTAAAAACCCATTAAAAAGTCGAAATTTATGAAAATTTTATTCCAAAAATCATACTAAATACATTTTAATCGGTATTTTGTAGATAAAAGTCAAAAATCCTAAAAATTATTAATACTAATGTTAAAATGTGTGTAATATTATCAAAATTTACAAGTTTAGATACACAATAAGTCATCCACAAATTTTAAAGTATCACAACGTTGAAGTTGTAAAGTTTAGGCGAATTTATTTATTCAACTAAAGAATAAAGTCCCAAACAATATATTAATAACGTTTAGCGTTTTGGCACCATTATTTTAATTTTCTGCTAAAGATTCATGAATGCAGTTCAAGTAACAGCAGGTACATAGTTGTTGTGTTTGCTAAAATTTGTTAATCATGTCTCCAACTCCTTTTAATAAACCAAGACAAGGCCCACCATTTATAACTAATTCTAAAGCTAATACTTAAAACAAAAGTTTTGATTAATATATAACTACTTTGATTAGTTAACCCTAACCACCGTCCGACATTCCTAAACATATTTTCAAAATTTTTATATAATGCAAAATTACCAAATATGATTTAAAAAAACATCAATAAAGTTAATCAGGCGGTAATTTGATTGATCTCCTCACTTATGTGGAGAGTGGAAGGTCTTGAGTTCGAAACTGTTTTCACTAATTTAGAAGGAAATACCTTATCATATAAACTGCAGTGTTATTTCGACGCATAAAAGCTTCCGATGAATTCAAAAAAAAACATCAATGAATTATATATATAAAAAAAAAACATCAATGAATTATATATATATATATATAATATATATATTAATCATATATATATAATCTTGTTCGGAAAATTTAGTACCAATTATATACATGTTAAAATTGAAAATAACTAATATTATTTCTATATTAAAAGGGGCAAAAGTTAAATTGGTCTTTGAACTTATTAAATCAAATTACCATATGTAACAATTGAAATTTTAAATTTTACAAATGGATTAACTTGAGTCATTAATCATTTTAGAGTCCTTTAATGCTGAAAGAAAGAAATTTGACATTTTCCATTTCTTTATTACACATATGATCCGATTATATTAATTGCATATTATTTTTTAAGCATAGATGAATTAGCATCTTCTTTATTTTTTACACTTGCTAATTTTCTTTATGCGAGCTCGTTATATAGTTATTATTTATATTCATTTAAATTTTTATTTATATAATATTAAAATATAAATTCTTATTTAGATTGAGTGGTTAAAATACATTAAAATTTATAGCCACAACAAATATTTTTTTGGTTTTATATTAACATACTAATTCATACCGTTTCTATTATATGTTAGTTGCTTTCATTAATTTATAAAAATTATCATATGACTTTATAAATTTTATAATTAATTTATATATTTTATTAATAACTTTTACTATAATCTCTTATAGTAAATAAATACACTTTAACAATAGAATAAGAAATCAATCTAGAAAATCAATCTAATAAAATAATAAGAAATCAATCTAATAAATCAAATTAAATATTTATAAATAATAATAAATTTTTATTTTTATTTTTTTAGTCAATTAAAATCATGAAAGCATTTAAAAAATTATTAACAAAATTATATTATTTAATAGAAATAGAATTTGAATTATATAAGATATCAATATAACTAATAAAATTTTAAAAATAATAATTTTCATTTTAATTTTTTACCAACCAAATTAGGGTGCAATTTGTAATTAAAAAAATTTAATCATATTCTTTTTAAATCAAAATTTGAACGATCTAGATATACTTGTTAAAATAAATTCAAAAAAATGTAAAAGTTTTACGTTTACATATATTATTTAAAATAACAATGCTGAAGCTAAATTATAAATTATTATAATAATTTATATTATTATAATATATAATAATTTATTATTAACTAATCTATATAATAATATTAATGACATATAAATAATAATTTAAATATATATAAGATCAAATAATAAAAATTTAAAAATTTTGAAATTACTTAATTATTATATATTTTATGCTATTAAAAAAGTCAAAAACAAATATCCGATCAAATTAATAAATAATATTATATATATTTTTAGGGTTAAAATCTTTTAATCGGGTTAAAACTAAAATTAATTTTTATAATATCATTAAATTTCACAAGGATTAATATCAACAATCCCATTATTTTCCTCATTCCGACTTTTTTCCTATAATTATCTATATATATTTATCTATTAAAAAATCAAAAACAAATATCCGATCAAATTATAAAAATATTATATATATTTTTAGGTTAAAATCTTTTAATCGGGTAAAACTAAAATTATTTTATAATATATTAAATTTCACAAGGATAATATCAACAATCCCATTATTTTCCCTCATTCCGACTTTTCTATATAGATAGAATAAATAGATAGATAGATGATTAGGTATATTTTTTGCATATTTAAATCATATTATATCCGAAGCATATAGACTCGATTAATTTTAGATTCACAAAATAAGTCACGCCGAACCGCTTCCTCGTAAAAATTTAAATAAATTCCATTTCTAGCGTATGAAATTGAGACTTTTAGCTAAAAGAAAAGAAATCCTACTCCATCTCACCCTTAAGTTTTTCTGTTTAGGTATATTTATGAGTCAGCTTATGCAGTTTTTCACAAGGTGATTTTAAAAGCATGTTCTTCTGCATTAATTTTTATACATTCTAAAGTATTATTTTGAAATGCTATTAGTACAACATTATTTCCGGGAACTTTGAAATTTCTGCTATTTCATAAAAAACAAAAAAGAAAAGAAAAGAAAAGAAAAAGAAAAAGTGAAACACAAGATAATTTTTCATACTATTTGGCTTTAAAATAAAAATAATAATGGTTACTTATACTTGTAGTGTCCGAATATCTAATTTTTTTTTTTTATTTTAGTGTCTGAAATTAAAAAAAAAAAAAGAAAAAGAAAAAGCCAACAATCTATAAAAAATAAATAAAGCAAAGAAAATTGAGTAAAATAATTCGTTTTGATTTTCCGGTGAGAAATTTCGCTAAATTCACTTTTTTTTTTTTTTGAATTGTCCTAAAATTATTAATTCAAACACTTAAATACAAATGTTTTCCCTTCTGACACCAGGATATGAAAGATAAAAAATTTAGAGACCAAATTTATAATTATCCCTTTAAAAAAAATTGAAAAAACAACTTCTGACAGGTAAAAAAGCTGAAAAAACAACTTCTGATGGGTCTCTAGACAGCAGGCAACAAGACAAATGGCAAGAAAATTGTCACGAAGCATTGATACAGTAAGATTGGATTGCTTAAAATCTACTACTTCATCATTTTCTTTCTCCACCTTCTTAACTAATTCATGTTCTGGGGCTAACAACAACTCTACTCTAGCTCTTATCTCCTACAAATCGGGTTATTTATATATACCCTCGCTAGGTTGTTCAATTCCCATGCAAACAAAAAACGAAGCTGAGAGCAACCAATATCACCTTACCTTACTATGGCTTCCATTTTTACTCTGCTCTTAAGCTCAGTTCTCATATTTTCAGTATCATTACAAGGAAATGCACTAAGCTTGAATTACTATGAGAAAACATGTCCTGACCTTGATTTGATAGTCACAGATGCTGTCAAGAGCGCGGCGACGAGAGACAAAACAGTTCCTGCAGCTCTCCTTAGAATGCATTTCCATGACTGTTTCATAAGGGTGAGAATTAAAACAAAGCATCTATATATGTTTCTTACCTTGGCAGTCTTACTGTTCAAACTAATTGATTACTTTGCTTTTGGCTTTCAAGGGCTGTGATGCTTCTGTGCTGTTAAATTCAAAAGGGAGCAACAAGGCAGAGAAAGATGGGCCACCTAATGTTTCTTTGCATGCCTTTTATGTCATTGACAATGCTAAGAAAGTAGTGGAAGCTCAATGCCCTGGAGTGGTGTCTTGTGCTGATATTTTGGCTCTAGCTGCAAGGGATGCAGTTGCAATTGTAAGATAATAGAAAATACAATAGCTAAAATTAAAATTTTGAATTTTTAATGACTAGAGTTCAAAACATTAACCTATGTACTTGCCAAACACAAAATTTAAAGAAAAAAAGAAAAAGAAAAAAAAAAGACAAACAGTTGGGAGCTCAATGCTAAATGCTAACTTCCAATCTAAATTGTTGAGGTCACTAACTCAATTCATTATGCAGTCTGGTGGACCAACATGGGATGTGCCAAAAGGAAGAAAGGATGGAAGAATATCCAAGGCAAGTGAAACAATACAATTACCTGCTCCAACTTTCAACATCTCTCAGCTGCAACAAAGCTTTTCTCAAAGAGGTCTATCCATGGATGATCTCGTAGCTCTTTCAGGTAAACGAAAGCCCAACAAACATATCATTACTTCTATCTCATCCTCACTTACTGCAGTAAAATGATAATGTTACCAATTATCAATACACAGGTGGGCATACTTTAGGCTTTTCCCACTGTTCATCCTTCCAAAACAGAATCCACAATTTCAGTGCCACACATGACATAGACCCTACTATAAATCCAACATTTGCAGCAAGCTTAAGGAGCATCTGCCCTAAAAACAACAAGGCAAAGAATGCTGGTGCCACCATGGACCCATCCTCAACAACTTTTGATAACACATATTTCAAGTTGATCCTACAAGGAAAAGCCCTGTTCTCTTCAGACCAAGCTTTGCTCACAACTACAGGGACTAAAAATTTGGTTTCCAAATTTGCCACCTCAAAAGAAATTTTTGCACAGGCATTTGTGAAATCCATGATCAAAATGAGTAGCATCACAGGAGGCCAGGAGATCAGGAAGGACTGTAGGGTAGTAAATTAAAAATCTCTTAGCCTGGTTCTAGACAATTCTAAACTATTGAGAGATGGATGATCAATCAGATATATTTACTTTCTTCCATTAAGAAACCTGTATCACAAATAGCAACTATAAACAGGTATTTTTGTATTAGATTGTAATAAAATTGAAGCGTATCAAACTTTCTCCAACGTAAGCAGCTCATGAAGACAAAATAATAATATATAATCAAGAAAAATGTCCACGAACAGATTGCACATAGACACAGGTCTATTCTACACTGTAATTACAAATAATATCTCTAATCAATAACAGAATTGCCAATTTAGCAAAGATTTTGAAATGCAGCTACAAGCTAAACCTTTAACATCCTGTAATCATATCTCCTTTAGTAGCATTCGTGTCTAGGCAGAGGCGCAGATATTATCCATGACATAAACTCAAACTCTCGTAAATGGTCATCTTACCATGGAAGAGCGAGTCTCTTGTGCCACAGAGAAGTGATAATGCAATGAAAGTGAATGCCTCACTAGATGCTAAACCAAGCTATTAGTTTCCTCAGTATTTTTGCTATTGAGTACAATCTCAGCCAATTGAATGTTGCCATTTAATCCAGATGCCTTGTAGGATGGCATGAAAGAAAATCCATCAAGTAGCTTCACACATTTTAATCCCCACTTCACCATCAAGAATTCAATAAGATGGTGCCCGCTGCAGATTATCACAAAAAAAATATATATATATATATATATATACAAATAAAGCTTGCAAGAGGTAAAAAAAAAACAAGAAAAAGGCAATTGCACTAGACAAGCAGGCAAAACTACAAGTGCACATGCTATGGCGTATAATTGGAACATAATTCAAAACCGATGGAGAAGTACCTTCGATTATGATAAGTTGTTATAAGGACAGAACCCGGAGAATTTTGGAGCAGGAATGTCAAGGTGGCAAAGAGGTCATCAAAGGCTTAAAAACAGAAATAGCAATGAATTTTTCAGCCCAAACAAACTAAGTGCAAGGGGATTCCCACAGGGGGGAAGGAGTATGAAGAATGTAGCAGAAAAATGATTTTACCACTCGCTTCATAAAGTACATCAGCACCAAGGATAATTGTTGGCTTTAAACTGAATATAGCTTCATCCCAAATTCCCCATGTTAATCCCAGTACCTACAAAGTAAGATGAACAAAGAAGAAAGTCAAGGCCAATCAGGGTCAACTAATGAAAAAGAAAATTTTACTAATTATCATGGTTTACATTGCACTTGAGCTTATTTAGGTTGCATACTTTTCTGATGTTGTCCAGCACCTGTTGCTCCAAAACAATAATATCATAAGAGTTAAGTTACTGAGTGAAAACCAGAAATCAAATTAAGGTAAGAAGACATCAATCTAGCCAAACAAACCCATTTAGCATGCACACTGCAGACATGAGCTCAAGAAGTGTCTACATAAATGAACCTCAAAAATTTTCTAACTATATAAGAATGCCAAAAAACTGAAATTTGAATGAGAATAATGCAGTTTCTAGTGAACTGAAAGTTGGCACTCCATAGATAGGTAGACTCAAGGAATGGTCCCATGAACTCACAACTCCATTAAAATCATTATGAGCAGAAGACCTTATTTTAACAATTGATTTAAAGAAACACCTTATTTTAACAATACAGTGATATATATGGCATAAATTTTAAAGCCCAAGTGCTAGTTAGTGCATTTTTTAAATGCACAAAACCTAACTCCTAAATGCATAACATCTAAAAAATTTGTAACCATGTCCAAAGTTCAGCGAAGTCAAAATTTGGAGAATATAACGGCCATTTTTTGGTACAAAAAACATCTGAAACAGAGGAAGGACGACCTGTCACTTCTGCGAAAGAACCAGAAAAGTCTATCTCAACTTACTTGAAAGACGTGTCATCCAAAAGAAAAAACCTTTAAACGACATTTTCCTCATTGGATGCAATAAAAAAAAAAAAAAAAAAAAAAAAAAAAAAATCACTTCTGCGTAAAGAACAGAAAAGTTCTATTCTAACTTACTTGAAAGACGTGTCATCCAAAAGAAAAAACCTTAAACGACATTTTCTCATTGGATGCAATAAAAAAAAAAAAAAAAAAAAAAAAAAAAAAGACAGTGTTCCAGGAATCTTAAAACAATGCAGACAAACAGAGTACAAGCGAAGGAAATACCCTCACTATTGGAGTCATCGGTGGAGAGTGACAGTCGGAACCCAACTTGGCCAAAAAAAAAAAAAAAAAAAAAAAAAAAAAAAAAGACAGTGTTCAGGAATCTTAAAACAATGCAGACAAACAGGAGTATCAAGCGAAGGAAATACCTCCAATCTATTGGAGTCATCGGTGAGAGTGACATCGGAACCCAACTTGGCCGCCGTTAATCCCGGCAAGGAAGTTCCGGCACCGAGCTGCAAACTAAGAATCACATAAATATAGATAACAAGAGTAAATTAAACGAAAAAAATTCGGTCAAATTTAAGAAACGAATTTGAATTACCTCAACTACGCGGGCACCTGAAAAGCGGTCTCTCTGTTGCCAAACGTACTCGGCGAGAATTACACTACACGGCCACACAAATAGCCCATACTCTTCCTTCATGTTCTGTTTAAGAACATTGAAAAAGTACTCTAATTTTTTTCATTTCTACGCTTAATTTTTATTTTTCAGGAAAAGCACAGAATGTTGAGTGAGTACCTCAATTATCGAGATAGAAAACGCCGGTTGTTCCTCGTCGTCGCCGAAGGCATGCCGAGATATCGTCGACATATGCCGGTCCGACGGTTCTTCATCGCCGTCTTTCCCTTGCATAGTGACGCGATGAATTACACCTCAATATTAACGGACCTTGTCAGTTAAGTTGCCGTTTTATTCTTTATCTTTAGGTAATTAAATATTTAGTCCCTATAGTTTGACTAACATTATAATCACGTCCTTTTTGTAATTTCCTTTATTTGAAAAATTCAAATTTTGAAGGAAAGAAAATAAAAATTAACAATTTTACACTTTTTTTTTTGTACATTTGGATTTGGGATAGAGAATTGATGAAGGTAAAACGATTAAACTGGTTGGATTTTTTTATTTATTCTTAAACTATTCATTTAATTAATAACATATTATATTTTGTATTAAAATATTTGATACATGGTGATTTTATTGGTCTTTTTATATACGGAATCTCTCGAGTACGAGTACTTTTGATTATAGTTGTTTCACCGATTCAGTAGGTTAACGGAAAAATCACCCTTTTTATATAGTCTTATAGTATTATTTTGACTCTTAAAAGCCTTTAATTTGTTATTTTAATATCGGAAAGAGTATTCTGATACGATTATTAAAATTTATCATATTTACGATGACTCTAATCGTACTGTATGTTAATCAGTTTTGTGTCGAAAACTGGCGAACATAATCCGGATAAACATCTAACCGGATCCCGTGGACCAAACACTACCTTACTGCGGTTAGAACTAGCCGTCAGATAAAAATGATCTATCAATCAAACAGCAAAAGGCCACGCGTAAAGCAAATACACACGAGTCAGCAAAGATGAAATCGTTTTCTCACCTCACAGAATCACACTCATTCCCTTTCTGGAAACAACCCCAATTCTGTTCCTTTTGGCCTTTTCTTCTCTTCTCTTCTCTCTTGGTGCAGCACAGTGTTTGGCTATGGCGTTTGCTCAGTACTTGCTAGCTGTTCCCGTTGAGACTTCAACTCATCCAAAAATCACGATCCTCAACTCTACCGCTTCTTCTTCTTCTGCCGCTTCTTCTTCTTGTTCTTCTTTATATTTCTCGTCTTCATCTAATTGGTCTAAGGCTCAAAAACTCTCTTTCTTTCCTAAACTTCAAAGAATCGGACATAAAGGTAATTTTTTGATGTTAATTAACTTTCTGCTTGATTTTTTTAGTTGCAGTCTGGATAGTTAATTTATTTGAAATTTTATTTTTGCAACCTGATAGCAATGAATGTTTTTTTTTTTTTTTTTAAATTAAAGTCTTTTTAAGTCTATGATGCAAACTTCATAATTATTAGGAAATCAATGAACTTTTGCAATTTTTGGTTTTTCCCTGTAATTTGAAATCATTTCTTGATATTTCAATTTCTGTGTCAAATATAGTTTTTGACATTGACATTGGTGCTAATTGTAATTCTTGGTATTAATTGAACCCATGTACGTGTGTGAAAGGCTTCTACTGAAAATTTATTTGTTTGGTAAAATTTTCACATAAGCATATCATATGATATGGTGTGTATATATATATATAGCATTTCTATGGAAGGGATGATATTGAGAGAGAAGACTTGGCAAAAAGATTCAGATTTTTCTTTTCCTATTTTTAAACATTAAATAATTTTGTGCCAACTAATTATTTAGAAAATGTAATCGGTAGTTCTTTGTGGGGTCTTACACTTATAAACATGTAATATCAGATGCTAACACAAATTAAAGCATTGTTCATAATTAAAATTTTGGACCAAAAATTTGAAATGTTTTTGAGTTATTGACCAAAAAGCAAATTGTCTGTACATTGTGATTACCTTTTTCTTTCTGTATATAATTCATGGCTTGTGACTTGTTGTTTTTATGCTTGAATTGTAATCAGCTAAAGCTATGCCACAAGAATCTGAAGTCAGTTTAGCTGCAGATGCCTTTACTCATTTCAAGCATCTGCTTCTGCCAATCACAGACAGGAATCCTTATCTTTCTGAGGGCACAAGACAGGTGACCTTCCTTTAAGGCACCTCAATTTTTCTTAACAGCTTTTCTTTCTCTCTTTCTTTCTTTTGAAATCACTTCCCTCATCTATTTGCTAAGTGCTCTTAACCATCCATAATTAACCCTCTTTGCCTTAGAAGTTGAATAGTCTTAATACAGGTCATAGAAAGTATTGACTATACTGATTCATTGTCATGTATAAAATGCAATTGGAATGTTTTTTGTTCTCATCAAGTCTTCAACGCCAGTGAGCAATGCCACTTAATCGGGAAATTTTGATTTCCTAGCTCCGCAGCCTTGTTGGCATGGTGTTGGCTTCAATTATTCATTTTGTTGGTTTTTTTATTTATTCTGATTGTTTATTCAACAGGCTGCTGCTACAGCTGCTGCATTGGCTAAGAAATATGGGGCTGACATCACTGTTGTGGGTAAGTGCATTGACTTATGCTGTGTATTATCATTTCTCATTTAAAGATGTAGGGAACTAAATAGTGGAGGTCTACTTTATGTTACAGATTCTTTTTAATGCAAAATTTTAAGGAATCTTGAATTATTATTTGCAGTTATTGATGAAAAGGAGAGAGAGTCATTGCCAGAGCATGAAACTCAAATGTCTAGCATTCGCTGGCATCTATCTGAAGGTTTGTGTGTGATCCCATAACTTTTGAAACATTGGAAAGTTTATCTTCCAGACTTGTATTAGAGGATGTGTGTGTTCTTTTCCTTTTGTAGCTAAGGAAGTTTAACTATGATAATTCACAAATTAACATTGATCAATAAAACACATACTAAGCTCGGTTTGAAAAAATTGAATGTGGATAGAATGTACGAAGAAAAGGTACGAGTAACAGAGGGATTATATTTATTAATAAGCCACTCAGTATGATTCTTGATGTGCATGCATATGGAGCATTAGAAAAGTAAATGTAGCGGCTTGATGGATATAATAATGGTAATAATTGATGTATAAAATGCAAGTCGTCATCATCTTATCTTCTTTTTCTTTATATATATTTGTGCTTATCTAAGTTGTGACAACTGACAATAGAAAATTATTTTAGTAGCTAATGTCTTTATCCAAAATGGCAACTATATGATTAAGTTGCTTGTTATTTTTGAAAAAAAAAAAAATGACAGGTGGATTCCAGGAATTCAAGTTATTGGAGCGGCTCGGCGAAGGGAACAAGCCCACAGCCATCATTGGTGATGTTGCTGATGAACTGAACTTAGATTTGGTAGTCATAAGCATGGAGGCAATTCATTCCAAGCATGTGGATGCTAACTTATTGGCTGAGTTCATCCCTTGCCCTGTCTTGCTTTTACCGTTATAAACCCAGCGTTTTTCCCAGGAGAAGAAACCAGCAAGTATACTGAAAGTGTCAGTTTTCTCCTGGTGGGGCTTTTAGTTTTGGTCTAGTTTTTTTGTTTCTAGTGTGAGTTATGTTTTGTGGATGGCTTGGGTTGACAAAGGCAGTTTTTTGAGTTTCTAATAGTGTGGGGTTGTGAATAGGTAAGCCTAGTTAACCCTGGGGAAAGGGGTCAAGCCTACTCTTGGTGGTGTTTTTGTAATTTACATTAGATGTAACCTGTGATTGGTTATTTTTTCTAGCTGCTGATGTTTGGGAGTTGTTTTGCATTCAACTTTGATCATCAGACTTTTTCCAGCTAAAATTTCTGTAGCTTTTATAGCCAGGGTTGAAGTTGTAGTACTAGTACATGGTGGGCCCAATATGGAGGAATTGGAATACCTCCATTTTTGTTTCCTGGCCCAATGGGCCTTTGATTATATTAAATGCACATTAGTGGTATCTTTTAAAACTTTAAAATTTTCTTAAGGTCTGTGGCCAGAACAATCCATGCATCAACTGCTGATTACCAAGTAAGTAATTTTTTCTGTTCTGCACCCACTTGTAAGACTCAATAATTGGTATTTGGTAAACAAACTGGTCGATTAAGTTTGTTTTTCTTTTTAGAAAAAAAAAAAAAAATCTAATTTCATAGTGATTTTACTAGAAAAAATCCTAAAAAAAAATTAGTTCTTAAAAATCAAATTGATTTAATCAGAAAAATAAGTCAAAATTAAAAAATTCTGTTAATATGTTTTTTACTGCTGCACTGTCATTTGAATGATGTTATGTTTTTAACCATTGCACTCTATTTGAATGGCAAAATGTTGAAATTTTTTAAGATTTCTTGCAATGAGTGGACTTAGGCTGTGTATAGCAAAGCTATTTAACCTATTTTTATGTATTTTTTAAAAAATGTTGATTAGGTATGATCCTAATATATTTATAAGAGAGCAGTTGTGAGAAATTGAACACATGATACAAGAAGATATAATTATTCCAATATCAAGAAAGGTTGATTCAAAGTTGATAAACCATAAGAGAAAAGAAAGAAAGAAAGAATAGTTTAGAAATATTGTTTTCACACTAACGAACACCACTAGGGGTGATCTGAAGAGTACAAGCAGATAATGAATACCAAATTGTTCTAAAGTCTCAATTCAAAGAAGCATTAATAATTTAATACAATAACTAAGATTGAAAATGAGTTTACATAACAGGGTTGCCGCGGAATGATCCCAAAGCTTTAACAGCTCCTGCTCTCAATACAATCTGATGATATGCTGCTGCTGCTGCTGCTCCAACAAGTGGTCCGACCCAGAAAATCCACTGTTTCACCAATATTTTAAGTATAATTTATGAGTATCGGTTTAATTTTGATGCCTTTATAACTATTCTAAACTCTTATGGTCCATTCAGCAGTATTAGCTGTTTTAATATATGTTAACTATTATATTAGTAGCTGTTAGTTATTTATATTGCAGCGGTTTAAATTTAAAGTGTTCGGTAAAAATAACTGTTTAACTTAAAATGATAAACAAATGACATTAGGTATGATTATGGAAAAAATTTTAATTAAAGCTAAACATTAAAAGTTAGAATGTTTAATGTTTCGTAAAAAGCTATTTCTAACATTTAAAACCTATTATAAAAGCTATATTACTGAAAGTTACAATTAACAGAAGTAGAATTTTGACCAAAACGCTAAAAGTTAGTGTAGAAGCTTTTGCCGAACAGTTTCCGAATATATATATTGATGGAGTTATTGAATAAAATGAAATTACAAAAGGGGACAAGTTAAGAGTAAGAGACTTACATGATCATCCCAAACCATCTTCTTGTTATAAATGACAGCAGCTCCAAAACTTCTAGCAGGATTGATCCCAGTGCCAGTTATGGGGAGGGTGGCCATATGCACTACGAACACAGTAAATCCAATAGGCAACGGAGCCAAAACCTGAACCATTCATTAATTACGGATTAAATTAAATTAATAAACTTTCAAGCAATCTATAGATGGTTAAATCGGTACTAACATTTATTTTAATTAAATTGGACTTTGAAAAAAGAAAAACAAACATATATTAGTCCACCTACTGAGTATAAAAATAATATAAATTTTCATATTTTCAAATAATTTTTTCAAATAAATGACAAAAAATGAATTTCGCTCCATATGTTAGAGTATAAACTTCATTTTTGTAATTGATTGTATTTCATTTATTCCAACAAAGTATATAATTAAAGATTGAAAAATAATTTAAGATATATATTGATATTGGAGGAGAAATAAATGATATATTAAGGTAAATTAAGAAAAAAATGACAAAAAAAATAAGTTAAACTATTTTCTTAATCTTGATGAAAAATTAGTTGTGTCTGTATAAAAAGAATGGAAGGAGTAAGTTTTATTTCTAGATTATTGATTTTTTTTAATATTGCATATTTTTTAACGTATTAGAAAACAATTATATTTCTAAGATGTAAAAGACAAAAATGTACCTTTTTACTTTGTCAAGCCTTTTTACCCATTGCAAGTAAAAAAAATCACGATTTTTAAAAAAAACTAATTTTAGCATGTACTCTTTTCTTTTTTTGAGAAAATAATAATGAAATAAAATTTTCAAAATTTTTTTTTCTGTGTATAATTATTTCTAACACTTTTGTTTTTTCCTTTTTTTAGAAGCACTAACACTTATTGTTTATTGTTTATGATACAGTAACATTTAAAAGAAAAATTTTCTTTTTATCGGTTTGGTATATGAAACTGTCTATATATTGAGTGTAGATAAATTTTATCTACTAATTATATATATTGCTCCGATCTACAATTGACTCGGGAACTCTTCAAAATTAATAAAATAATGATGAATGTTTTTTTTTTTTTTTTTTCTTTTTTTAGAAGCAGCTAACACTTATGTTTATTGTTTATGATACAGTAACCATTTAAAAGAAAAAAATTTTCTTTTTATCGTTTTGGTATATGAAACTTGTCCCCTATATATTGCAGTGTAATAAATTTTACTCTACTAATATATAATATATTGCTCCCGATCTAACAATTGCTCGGGAACTCTTCAAAATTAATAAAATAATTGAATGGAATGTTTTTTTTTTTTTTTTTGGTGTAACCCACTAGTATCCAAACTACGGGGCATTTAGTTACAGTTAATGTTCGGTTGCCCCTCTTTTTTTTTTTTTTTTTTTGTGTAACCCACTAGTATCCAAACTACCGGGGCTTAGTTACAGTTAATGTTCGTTGCCCCTCTCTACATGATAGGTTTAGTGGAAATTGAATCCGAGAGCTCTTTCCATGTACCCAATCTATATCGATAACTGAGTCACAGCTCGTAGGTAAATGTTATACTCTTTTATTTCAAGATAAGTTTATAAGAAGAAATACAAAATAGCAAATTATTTGGTGTTATACTTTTTCATTTAGACTCTATTCAACAACAATTTTTATATTAGCGTTTATATATTTTCTTTTTTCACAAAAAGAAATACACATTTCATTTTACTAATAGTTTATACTGTGGTATCTAATACCGTTTATTTTTTATTTTTTATTTTTTATTTTTTATTTTTAATTTTTTTGAAAGAATCTAATACAGTTAATTTTATCAACATAAAGTTGATATACTATTAAATATTCAATTACCACAAAATATAATTAATTTAACACCACATCAACAATCATACTAAAGTAAACATCTAAATATAATCAAATGGTGGTTTGATTGGTCTTTTCACTTATATAAGCAATGAAAGATCTTGAGTTTGAAGGGAGGGGAGGATTACCCCTCAAACACCAAGTCAATTCATAAAGTTTTTTTTTTTTTAAATGTCACTGTTTTTATTTTCTTTTAGTGAATGTTCAGAAAATATCCTTGTTAAATTAAAAATTTATTTTTAATTGTTTTGGTGAAAGAAATGAACTCATATACTGGGTGTACGGGAGTCTTTCCCTTCAATATAAATATACACGTGCAAACTAAAAGAAATCCCGCTACAAATACTTACCGGAACATGGGAGTCACGGGCTTTCCGTTTAGGGTCAGTGGCGGACAAGACGGTGTATTCAAGGAAAAATGTGCCAAGAATCTCAACTCCTAAACCGGTGCCGATTGAAAAACCAGCCGTAACAGAATTTGCACCACCGCCAAGGGACTTGTAAAGATCCTTTACTAGTCCTTTCACTAGTGCTACACCAATAATAGCTCCTACGCATTGTGCCACTATATACGCCACCGCGCGATTCAACGACACCTTCCTTGCCAGCAACAGCCCGAACGTCACCGCAGGATTAATATGACCTCCTGCATGTCGTTTCAAATCACAAAAGATTATCACATTAAATATGTAATAAAAAAAAATATACTAAAAAAATGAAATAATTAAACAAAAGTTGTGTACCAGAAATCCCAGCGGTGCAATAGACAAGAATGAAAATCGTGCTACCAAAAGACCAAGCAACGCCAAGAAGACCAACGCCGCCACATCCACTAGACATAGTTGAGGCTTTGTTGGCTATAACAGTGGCTACAGTGACAAAAAGGAAGATAAGTGTGGCCACAAGCTCTGCAATTACAGCTCTGTAAAATGACCATTTCGTTAGCTCTTCAATGTCCAACAATGGAGCTGGAGGTGGGTCCACATAGTCCTTCCCATGTTGATGTGCTACTTCTTCACCGAGTTCCTTATTAGCCATGCAGCCGGTTAATGGTGGTGGTGGTGGAGAAATATTGATATAGAGAATTTATGGATAAGACAGTGTGCATGCTCTTCCATGAAACTGTGGATATAAATAATGCTGATTTGAAATCATCCACCTAGTAATTCTAGAATTATTTTTAAAAATATAAAAAAGTAATCTTTTTTTTTTTTTTTTTTTTTTTTATATTAATGATATGTTAATTAAATCTAGCCTCACCCTTTTATGGTTAGTTTAATTTCTAATAATTTTTATGTGATGTAACTTCTGCATAGTATATTGATTTTAGTAGTATCAGACTATTAAAATTAGCACATGAATAATTAAGATTAAATTATTTAAATTTGGCAATAGATCTACCGACTATGTTTAATACTTGAAATTATATAAAAATAATAGTCTCCCACACCCCCCCGCGCCCTCTACCACCTCAGATTAAAATTACAGATATTAAATTTTAAAATAATTATTACAGAAAAGAATAAATATCGAGAATCTAAATTACGAAATACTCCACCTCACGACAACAATTAACAATGAATATAAGAATAAAGATTATACTTAAAAAAAAAAAATAAAAATAAAGAAAGAGGAATAAAAGAAATAATTTAGTAACATAGTAAATCAAATAAGAGTATAATTAACTTACACATGTGATCAAATTCTATACGATATTGCTAACATAGGTATCGCCTTAATAGGAGAATCCCAAACAATAAAGTAGCACTCCAATACCAAAGACAAACCATCAAAGCATAAGATCGAAATCAGACCATCAGCAATACATATCAACCTACTGAACATAATAATAAATAAATGCTATTTATCAACACTGCATCTTGACACTAACATTTTTATTTATATCTTATTACAATACCCCTCCTCATATCTCTACCTATATTTCACAAAAATACGACCAATAGTACTCCCTCTATAGTATATACATCCGATCAATATATGTCTCATGAATCCAACAAATTTATAATTATAGCTCTAAGTATATATTGTGCAATTTGGATTGGGCTTTGTGAGACATTATAGACAACGTGGCTTACAGTGACCAAAAAGGGATATGATAAGTGTGGCCACACTTCTGCAATTACAGCCTCTGTAAATGACATTTTCGTTAGCTCTTCCAATGGTCCAAACATGAGGGCTGATGAATGGTGCGTATTGGATTCCGGAGAACATAGTCTTTCCATTTGATGTGACTACTTCATTCACCAGTTCCCTTATTAGCCATGCAAGAATGACAGTGTAATGGTGTGGTTTCGGTGGTGCGGAGAACAGAAATATTGATATAGAGAAATTTTTATGGAATAGTACTCATTTGTGCATGGTCTGCCTTCCATGAAACTTGGTAGTATAAATCAATGCTGATTTGAAATCACTCCACCTAGTAATTCTAGAATTATTTTTTAAAAATATAAAAAAAGTAATCTTTTTTTTTTATTTTTTTTTTTTACAACTTGGACAATAGCTTCGAGAATTAAATTATTCATTTACCTCAATTAATTGATAAAAAAATACTTAAATAAGTATTTTTTTTTTTTTTTTTTTTTTTTACAACTTGACAATAGTTCGAGATTAAATATTCATTTCCTAATAATTAAAAAAAAAAAAAAGAAAAAAGGTTGGCTTTGCCCTAGTGTGATGACAACCACAAATCAAAAATTTCAAATATAAATTGCTGACTGCCAAGCTAAGAAGATAAATTGGTGTGTGTTGAAAATAGAAAATAGAAATTAAAAAATGTTTCCATAAAAGATAATTTGAATGCAACGTGAGTGGGTCTCAATTTCCCAAACAACAGGACAATTTCTGTTATTAGGATCAAATAACCGTTATGGAAATTTTCTGAATGTGACATTTATTCAAACCCATTCATTTTAAACATAAATACTCAATCTCCATTAACAAACTACTTATTAGCATTTCAACAAAAATGAGTTTTTTTTATTATTTACAAATGCGAAATGGATATTTAATTTAGATTTAGTAACGAACAGAAAAATAGAAACAAAAAATTCATATAACTGAATAAACTAATTTGAGATTAAGATTTAATTATTGTTATTTGTACTTATAATCAATAGTTCAATTCTATTTTCCATGCAGCCATTGATGGTGTGGAGTGATAAATGCTTCAGGATTTGCAAAGTTGAGTTTCAATTTGATATGTGATTTCATTTCCTTTTGTTCTCTGTCCAACGACATTGACAGGACCAAGATACGACAAATTAATATTTGAAATACATCTTGGAAAACAACCAACTGATATTAACAGGCCTTGAGGCCTCTGCCTCTCGTTCTTCTTATCTGATTCTTCATCCTCTTCTCCTCCTTTTTTTTGACAAAAAAAATAAAAAAAGAAAAGAAATAATAGTGAGAAGAGTACAAAATAAAGCCAGTTTGTCATATTTATATCCTCGTTGTAGGGAAGGGAAAAAACAATAGGAAATTTAATACCATTTAGTGAAAGCAGAAACAGTTAAAAATATTTGAATTCAAAATTTTTTACTTCTCAACTATAACTATTTATATAAAAAAAATGAAAAACTTTATTAGCTTGATAAGAAAAGACAATGTTGGTTCTTACTAATTGCATTGATATTGTTGGTTAAGTTTATATTAATTATTATTTGAGAACAATAATAACAAAATAATAAAATTTATATTTTCAAAGTTAAATGAATTTTTAAATCATCTTCATTATATGATTTTTAACCAATTTGATGAGTTTTTGTAAGAAAAAGGGTGTATCATAAAATATTTTTTAAGCTCATTTAAACTTAATAAAAAAAGAATTTTCATATTTTATATAAATCTAAATTTTTAGTATAAATATATCTATTTTTAAATAAATGTGGCAAAATTGAGACCGGCTAAGGTAAGGTGATAAGGAAGGGACTTTTCTACCACTTTTTTTTTTTTGAGTATCAGGGAAGAAGGATTCGATGATAAGGACTTTTTTTTTTTTGAGTATTAGGGAAGAAGGATTCGATGATAAGGAAGGGACTTTCTATCATTTTTTTTTTTTTAAGTATTAGGGAAGAAGGATTCGAATCTAAATCTACTGTCAGATTATATATGCACTTATCACTCGGCTATGTTTTAATGTACTTTCTGCTGCTTTTTAATATAGATACATAAGAGTAAATTATATGCACTTACCACTCGGTTATGTTTTAACATACTTTCTGCTGCTTTTTAATATAGATACATAAGAGTAAATTTCTTAAACTATTTCAAGTAATACAATTCAATTAAAGTTTCATACCTTTTTCTTTTTTTTTTTTTTTTTTTTTTTTGTGCTGCCCTCGCTTTTTACATACTGAGCACTTACATAAAGTAAATTTATAGACAAGTCTTCCAACTCGGTATTATGTATTCAACATCAACAATTTCATGCTGCAGGTTAATTTAAAGTTATAGGCCACCTTACATATAGACCTAATTATTTCTTAAACGTATTTCAAGTAGTCTTCAATTTCAATTTAACAGTTTCATACCTTTTTCTTTTTTTTTTTTTTTTTTTTTTTTTTTTTTTTTTTTTTTTTTGCCTTTTCTTTGAGAAATAATACTGTTTAAATTAATTACTACCCATAATCTTAAATAACTGTAAAAACTCTAAAAAAAAATTCATTAAGCCTTAGAGTTAGTAAATTCAATTGGAATGAATAAAAAGTCTGATTTCTTATTAATCAGATTTTAAGTTCAGTGAAAAGTATTTCTAAAATGTTAATAATTAATATTTCAGATTGCATTAGGAGAATATCCTTAACTATAACTATTAAAAAACACACTCATTATTGTTTATACATTTTTCTTTTTCAATAATAAGCTTTAACATTAAAAATTGAAAAAATTACCATTATCCAAAGGCTATATCAGAAAAAATAGATGCCTTTCATTGCTCATCTCTCCCTCCCTCCACATGACACACATAACAAGATAATAAAGTTCAAGTAGGACCCATTTGAAAATGAAAAATCAGAATATATAAAACAACTTGTTCATAAATTTTGGGAACAAAATACATTGTCATAAAACTCATAATATTGGAGATTCTTCTTTTATTTATTATTTATTTATCAGAATGCTTGGTGGGCTGAAATAATACTGCGTACTATAAAATAGGGGTAGTCCTTCCTAAACTCACCAAATTGGTGAAAATCTTCTTCTATTCTCACTAAATTAATGAAAATACTAGTGATTGAGAATACTCAAACTTAAAACCTTTTACTCATCATATAGGTGGAAAGATCGATTGGTTAGAGATTCTTGCTTTTTTGTTTACTTAGAAAATAAATTATGTGTAAACAACTAATTATGTTATTTTCTTTACTTACGAGTCTTGTAGGAGGCTAATGTAAAAAGCAAATAGGGTTGTGAATCAGCCGAACTCTAGGATTTCTATTTTTTAAGTAAATAGGGCTAATGAATCAAGAAAAATTTATATGTACATCTTTAAGTCTATATTCATTTGGATTGATGGAATGTAAAATTCAAAAATTTTATACAATTATGAAATATAAAATTTATAAATTCAAATTTTTTGAATTTTACACTCTTTTGAAAAAAAAGAATAACTTAGATTCTATTATTATAAAAAAATAAAATTAAGAAAATCCTACCTTTGAGGTAGGATTTCTTTTTTTTTTTTTTTTTTCCCCTGACACTCCTCTCACACTCGCCTCTTCTGACAAACAACAAAGCCAACCTAACTTCAGGTCCTCTATCTATCTACTACACAAAATCAACACCTTAACGGAAGAAAATCCTACCTATTTGAGGGTCTAGGGATTTCTTTTTTTTTTTTTTTTTTTTTTTTTTTTTTTTTGAAATGGTGTAATTAAGATGGATTTATTACTTTCATACATTTTGGCCTTTTTTTTCAACCACACAGGAAAAAATTAATAAGTTTATGTAATATTTTAATTTTATTACGCATATTATATCAATTCAAACCAGTTAAATGGTATTCCTTCCGTTTTAAAATATAAATTATTTTTTTATGATTATTTTATCTCAAAATATAAATTGTTTTGAGTATTTTAAAGAGTAATAAA